AGTCACAATTTTATTAATCATATCTTTGACTCAATAAAAAAAAATGATAAATTTGTATTCACAGTTAGGAAAGAATAACTGAAACAAAATTTAAATTGGACATGTAATTTACTTGAAATTAAATTATTAATTTTCGAAATAAAATGTGTGTGGTATATATTGATGAATTAAATTATTGTTTCATTTATATTTATTTTTGTTCCTATTTCATAAAGTGAAATTTGAACTGAAATTAAACTAGATCCATTACTGCTGAAGAAATTGTTATTTCTATAGGTTTTTATTCTATTTTATATGCAGTGCAGATGCCACACATCCTTTTCGCTGGTCATGAAGATTACAAGGCAAGAGGAACTCAAGCAGCTCCCTACTTGACTCCAACTTTTTGCACTGAATTTGCAGAAACCAAGGACTTGGTACTTATACGGGGAGATGTCGTGTTCACCAAGCAAGCTCACCGATGAAGAAGCGAAGTGGCTTCTGGAGACGGTTCAGTCTTTCTATCTGAATGATACGAGGTACAAACTCGTTGAACGGTTTAATAAAGAAACACGAGATTTTGAATTCAAGGATGTTCTACGAGCCTTGGACATGCCTGTTCTGTGATCTTTGTTTCTTGAAGTTCTTTGATCAGCTTCTTGCATCGTATGGATATAGTTATAGTAGTTCTTTCTTCTTTGTTTGTATATATATTTATATACATATACGTATGTTTCTTTTATATTATATTTCTCGCATTGCAATCAGCTTCTTGCCATTTGCCACTGAGATTCATCAATATTCAAGACTTTTGTGGGAAGATGCTGAGTTCTTGTTCCAAGTCCTCATTAGAACCATACAGTACTTGTCCGCCATCATCAGCTGCTGCACACATAAACTTTAAGCTTTTATTTTCTTGCTCTTTCCTTGTATGCCATCTGTTTCTTGTATTCGTGAAAAGTATATATATATATGTGGATATAGGAGTAAAATTAGAACTAATGCTTCTTTCATATATATATATATATATGTGTGTGTGTATATAGGAGTAAAATTAGAACTAATGCTTCTTTCATATATATATATATATATATATATATTAATCCGATGTCGCATGCTATACGGTTATGTATATATAATTAATCCGATGTCGGATAATACACGGCTATGTATATTAATTGAAAAAATATAGAAATATTTGTGTGTATGTGTTATATATATAGAGAGAGAATGGGTTGCAAGAAAGGAATACGCGAGAGAGAAATACGCAGAGCGAAAGAGAGAGAGAGAGAGAGAGAAAGAAAGAAACGCAAGAAAGACGAAAACAAAAAGATTCGAAGCAGATTTGTGAGAGTTTACGAGTTGTGAGAGTGGTGATGGACTTCGCAAGGATTGGTTTCCATTTTACGCCGAGCGATGAAGAGCTGTTTCAGATTCTTGGAACGAAACTGAGAGGAGAATATGAAGGGGGCGGAGTGACTGAGGTTGATCCGTATGAGAAAGAGCCGTGGCTGGTGTTCGACAAGAATGAACCGACCACGTTTTATGTGTTTACAAGTCTGAAGAAGAAAAGCAAAACAAGAATGGAGAGAAGGGTCGGTTGCGGTACATGGAAAATGGAGAGATCCCTGGAGATTGTCGACTGGGACGAAAACGTTGTAGGGTTCAAGAAGATGCTTACGTTTGAGGAGAAGAAGAAGAACACCGAGAACGGTCGCTGGATAATGCACGAGTATTCCCTACGGGATGTGAGTATTCTCTCTTGCTTTCTTTCTTTACTTTCTGCAATCGGCTTCTTGCATGGAGAATATATATATATATATATACACACACTGTAATTCTTTCTTTGATCTTTTACATATATATATATGTATCGTTTCTATAATTTCTTCAGTCCGAGTTTTCCCATGCCCCGAATCGTAGGCGTAATTTTTTTTTTTTTTATGTTATATACATGTGATACTCTTACTTTCTTGAAGTTCTTTGATCAGCTTCTTGCATCGTATGGATGTAGTTATAGTAGTTCTTTCTTCTTTGTTTGTATATATATTTATATACATATACGTATGTTTCTTTTATATTATATTTCTCGCATTGCAATCAGCCTCTTGCCATTTGCCACTGAGATTCATGAATATTCAAGACTTTTGTGGGAAGATGCTGAGTTCTTGTTCCAGGTCCTCATTAGAACCATACAGTACTTGTCCGCCATCATCAGCTGCTGCACACATAAACTTCAAGATTTTATTTTCTTGCTCTAATCCTTGTATGCCATCTGTTTCTTGTATTGCTGAAAAATATATATATATATATATAGGTGTAAAATTAGAACTAATGTTTCTTTTGTATAATATATATATATATATATATATATATATATTATATTATATTATATGAATCACTTCTATAATCTATCATCTGAAGGTTCAGATTCCATCTCCATCAGTTTCCATGCATACGTTTGCAAGTCTTTTATTACAATTTCTTGAATCTGCATGAACGATTCAAATTTTATTTGTGAACAATGTTGGGAGAAAATTTAATTTTTCTGTTATATGTACACTTTTAATGCTAATACGCCAATATTAATTTGATTACAGTAATATTAAATTTCTATATTCATTGCTTTATATTTTATATTAAAAATATTTTTTAAAAGTTTTATTTGAAATTATTATCAATTTTTTAATATATATATGTAACTTTTTTTAATTTACGCAGTCAGACGATTACGTACTCTGCAAAATTAGAAACAAAAATCTAGATAAACGACAACAATCAATAAGAATTAAATTGGTATATCATCAACAAGATAACGACAACAACGTTCGAAAAAGAAAATTGAATGTTGATGCAGAAGACCATACTCAGTATAAAATTCAGTGCATCAATTCATCATTTGTAATACCTACTACTAATGATACAAGAACAGTTGAGGAGATGGCTATTACTGCACCTTTGGCAATAGGGAACATCGATCCATTGGTCACTGCTGCACCATTGGCGGTGGGAGACATCAATCCATTGGCTACTGCTACACCCTTGGCGCCAGAGTATAATGATGGAGAAATAGTTGAGGGGATGACCGTCGCTGCACCCTCGCAGGAGGAGGTTGAATGGAATGACAACCTCGTATTTGATATAGATAAATTGTGGGATGAGATTGAACAGAAAGACAATCTCGTAGTTGATAGAGAAGAATTGCAGGAAGAGGTTAAATGGAGTGACAATCTCGTAGCTGATAGAGATAAATTGCAGGAGGAGATTGAATGGAGCGACAACTTCGTAGAAGAATTATTAGGGAACTGTGATGAATAGTTATTATTAGTTAAAAATTAGACTACAGTCCTCTATGTAAAAATTTCGATGTAAAAACTTTAGACTGAATGGTTTCAGTGTAAAAAATTTTGATTTTTTTAATATTATTGTTGTTATTTCTATCTTTCTATTTTTTTTTACTTATTTAAAATTAATTAAATGATTTATTACATCATACATACCTTAACATAAAAGTAAATTTTAATACATTATTTATTTTTTTATCTTTCAAAAGTTTGTGTTTGTATATTTCTCAAACATAGTTATGGAAATATTTTCATAATTTTATTTTAAATAGATTACAAGATAAATATATCTATATATTAATAATTTTTAATTAATAAATACAAAATATTTTTATTTCCAAAAACCAAATTAATTACCAGATAAATAATATACAATTTTAAAAGCCCAAATTAATCCCCAACAGGCCCAGCTCAATTGTTTTTGCTTTCTTCCCGTGGGCCCAGCCCGTGCGGGGCCTCCTTTACAGACTTCCAGAAACGGCATCGTTTTAGGGACATGCTTTACATGTCTTCTTTTTCGCAGGCGGGAAGCGGCTGGAGGAGGAAGAAGACGAAGAAGAAAAAACGTTTTGAGGGAGAAGAAAACAGACCGAGAGGAGCTTTCCCGAACGGGTTTCCATGAGGAAAACAGAGGAGAAGAGAGGGAGGCCGAGAGGGGTTTTGGAGGGATACAAACAGTGTTGTTGGGTGAGGATTCTTCTGTTTCTGAAAAATCTCCATAGAAAAATCTTGAAGAAGAAAGGGTGAACGCCGAAGGTGAAAGATTTTTTTTTTTGTATTGAATGAAGGAGAAATAGAGGAGCCTGAAACAGTGGAGACTCCATCTATGTTCTATATATATATATATATATATATATATATATGTCTTTCTCATTTTACTATAGTTTCTGAAAAATCTCCATAGAAAAATCCAGAAGAAGAAAGGGTGAACGCCGAAGGTGAGAGATTTTTTTTTTGTATTGAATGAGGGAGAAATAGAGGAGCCTGAAACAGTGGAGACTCCATCTCTGTTCTATATATATATATATGTCTTTCTCATTTTACTTCAATTTATAATGCTTTGAATGTTCTTCCAGGAATTGATTGTGGGTTCAGGATGATCATGCTTGCTTTGTTTTATGAAAGTATATTTATTATATTTTGAACACTAACTTATTATTATATAATACATATATATATAATTTCATACATCATTGTTATTATTATTATTATTATTTCCTAATTTCATACATCATTATTATTATTATTTAATCCTCTAGTTGATTTCTTCATATTAGCACAGTAATTTAGAGAATTTACATGTCCAATATTTAAATGCTACTCTTTTCATTGTTAACACAATAGTTTAAAGAATATGAAATATGATTTGGCCATCGAGAATTCTGACATTAATTTCAATTTTGTGAGATGTTAAAGATAAAATTCTTATACTTATTGTGATATATATATATATATATTTAACTATATAATATTCTTATACTCGTTATGATTAATATAAAAAATATTTATATGTATGTAATTTATTATATATAAACTAATTAAATATAATTAATCCGCATAATATACGGCTATGTATATTAATTGAAAAAATATAGAAATATTTGTGCGTATGTGTTATATATATAGAGAATGGGGTCCAAGAAAGGAATACGCGAGAGAGAAATACGCAGAGCGAGAGAGAAATACGCAGAGCGAAAGAGAGAGAGAGAGAGAGAAAGAAAGAAACGCAAGAAAGACGAAAACAAAAAGATTCGAAGCAGATTTGTGAGAGTTTACGAGTTGTGAGAGTGGTGATGGACTTCGCAAGGATTGGTTTCCATTTTACGCCGAGCGATGAAGAGCTGTTTCAGATTCTTGGAACGAAACTGAGAGGAGAATATGAAGGGGGCGGAGTGACTGAGGTTGATCCGTATGAGAAAGAGCCGTGGCTGGTGTTCGACAAGAATGAACCGACCACGTTTTATGTGTTTACAAGTCTGAAGAAGAAAAGCAAAACAAGAATGGAGAGAAGGGTCGGTTGCGGTACATGGAAAATGGAGAGATCCCTGGAGATTGTCGACTGGGACGAAAACGTTGTAGGGTTCAAGAAGATGCTTACGTTTGAGGAGAAGAAGAAGAACACCGAGAACGGTCGCTGGATAATGCACGAGTATTCCCTACGGGATGTGAGTATTCTCTCTTGCTTTCTTTCTTTACTTTCTGCAATCGGCTTCTTGCGTGGAGAATATATATATATATATATACACACACTGTAATTCTTTCTTTGATCTTTTACATATATATATATGTATCGTTTCTATAATTTCTTCAGTCCGAGTTTTCCCATGCCCCGAATCGTAGGCGTAATTTTTTTTTTTTTATGTTATATACATGTGATACTCTTACTTTCTTGAAGTTCTTTGATCAGCTTCTTGCATCGTATGGATGTAGTTATAGTAGTTCTTTCTTCTTTGTTTGTATATATATTTATATACATATACGTATGTTTCTTTTATATTATATTTCTCGCATTGCAATCAGCCTCTTGCCATTTGCCACTGAGATTCATGAATATTCAAGACTTTTGTGGGAAGATGCTGAGTTCTTGTTCCAGGTCCTCATTAGAACCATACAGTACTTGTCCGCCATCATCAGCTGCTGCACACATAAACTTCAAGATTTTATTTTCTTGCTCTAATCCTTGTATGCCATCTGTTTCTTGTATTGCTGAAAAATATATATATATATATATAGGTGTAAAATTAGAACTAATGTTTGTTTTGTATAATATATATATATATATATATATATATATATTATATTATATTATATGAATCACTTCTATAATCTATCATCTGAAGGTTCAGATTCCATCTCCATCAGTTTCCATGCATACGTTTGCAAGTCTTTTATTACAATTTCTTGAATCTGCATGAACGATTCAAATTTTATTTGTGAACAATGTTGGGAGAAAATTTAATTTTTCTGTTATATGTACACTTTTAATGCTAATACGCCAATATTAATTTGATTACAGTAATATTAAATTTCTATATTCATTGCTTTATATTTTATATTAAAAATATTTTTTAAAAGTTTTATTTGAAATTATTATCAATTTTTTAATATATATATATGTAACTTTTTTTAATTTACGCAGTCAGACGATTACGTACTCTGCAAAATTAGAAACAAAAATCTAGATAAACGACAACAATCAATAAGAATTAAATTGGTATATCATCAACAAGATAACGACAACAACGTTCGAAAAAGAAAATTGAATGTTGATGCAGAAGACCATACTCAGTATAAAATTCAGTGCATCAATTCATCATTTGTAATACCTACTACTAATGATACAAGAACAGTTGAGGAGATGGCTATTACTGCACCTTTGGCAATAGGGAACATCGATCCATTGGTCACTGCTGCACCCTTGGCGGTGGGAGACATCAATCCATTGGCTACTGCTACACCCTTGGCGCCAGAGTATAATGATGGAGAAATAGTTGAGGGGATGACCGTCGCTGCACCCTCGCAGGAGGAGGTTGAATGGAATGACAACCTCGTATTTGATATAGATAAATTGTGGGATGAGATTGAACAGAAAGACAATCTCGTAGTTGATAGAGAAGAATTGCAGGAAGAGGTTAAATGGAGTGACAATCTCGTAGCTGATAGAGATAAATTGCAGGAGGAGATTGAATGGAGCGACAACTTCGTAGAAGAATTATTAGGGAACTGTGA